ATATTGAAATTATTATGTTGTATTCACGTCTCCCATTTATTAGTGGTGATGATGTCCCGTGTGTCGGGATACCTCGGGAGTCAAGATGACCCGTGTGTCGGGATGCCTCAAGAGTTGAGGGCCTTGTGTGTTGGAATGTGCCATGTGTGGGAATGCCTCATTAGATGAGATGAATTTGCCGGTGACAAGTGTAAAATATGTATATATGCATCTATAAATATATTCACACATGTATATCGATGAACTACTTTGACAATATGCTTTTTGATCTGCTTGCATTAGAGTGAATAATCTTTTACAATAGTGTTCAATGATTTTTATTAGCATAGCATGATAGGGAAAATAGTACATATACTCATTCAATTGCCTTACATAGTTATTTTGTATGCGTCTTGAATTCACGTTGTTTTATTGGTATTAGGTTGAGTAGCAAGATGATCTCAATCTTCTACTTTATACGATTTCATTTAGTAGGTTTTGGCCCACTCCTTTATTTTTTTTCAGATCTGTAAATTGGACCATCGTCTGCTACTAGGTTTCAGAGTACCTGTGAATATAGAATGAGACTATCAAGATGTACTTGTACTGAAATTTGAGAGAGTGTACGTTAAGTGTAGTTCTACTGTCTGGATGGATGTAGGATTACTTGAGTTTCTCCCCCATTGTTTCATCACTCCGTACATTGATAAGAATGGTGAGTTAGTTGGACCTTTGAGAGGGTTTTGATGATCCCCTGGGCATGACGATGGAAGGGACGTGATGATGCTAGAGGTCATCAACCCATGAGTTGGACAGTGGGTTGGATGATGTACATGCTTGTTTTTGATTAAGTATGGGTATAGGGCGATAGATGACTCGACTACTTCCTAGTATTAATGTGTTGTTATCTAATTCTTTTTTGCACTTGTATTAATATTTGGAAGATGAAGTTTAAAGGAAAGATGCATATATAAATTATTTTAATTTTCTCAATTTCCGTTCTCTTAGGATGTGATTATTTTGTTATGCTTCTGTGTGCTTAAAAGAGAAATACATAATTTAACAAAAGATCTCATGTTGCGCGTGACATTCTGTGGCAATACATGTAGCTTTAGAAATTTGCATTTAAATTAAGGAAACTAAAATGATTTCTCATGAAAAGTAAATAATGTTTGGTAAACACCGTGTAAAATACTTTGCAAAGGAATTTTTAAGAATAAGAAAATAAAATATAGAAGGAGAATATAGGAACTTGTAGTTGCAGTTCAGGGGAGCAACACAACAGTATCACCAGTACTAACATCACACAACCATAGGCGACATGTTGCCGAGGTTAAGCGACCCTAGTTGCGCAACACCAGGTGGCGCAAAGCTGGGGCTACATGACTAGGCAACACGAGGGTAGACCCTCGATGCGCTAGATCTAGTGTTAAGTGACCTTGTGCGAGCTAAATTTAGCGTCGAACAACTGTCGACGGAGTTTACCAATGTCGACAAACTAGATCTGGCATTGAGCGACCCATGGCGAAGCTTGCCAATGTTGCGTGACCCTCAATGGCTAGATCTGGGGTCGAGCGACCCTCAGTGACGCTTTCCAACGTCGAGCGACCCTTCGTGAAGCTTGCCAGTGATGCGTGCTTGTTGGTGAAGCTTTGCCGGTGTCTCACAAACCTCGACCTCATCCGTGAAGCTTCCCAGCCACGGCAAGTTCATGAAAATCCCTAAACTTTCATTGGAAGAAAAAAAATTGTGAGCAGTAAAAGTAGGAATACTAATATCTAGTGAGGGCGAAATTGAATCAAACGCCAAAGCTTTGGTTGTACTCAAAACTGCTTTGGTTCAAGAGCATTTGGAGACTCAAAACTGCTTGTAAATGTACTCTCAAATGCATCCTAACCGGTTTTATTAAATCATTAGAAAATTTTGTGCTTAAACAACCACGTAATATTTGCTAAAATATCTAGTAAAACTATTTAGCATATGAGTCTCAGTGTTTCTAACATTACTCAATGCAAAAATGTGAATATGTGTGTTTTTTTTATTTCTTAAGATTATGAAATTAATTCATGTTTCAAAGCCCATAACTACAAACAAATGATCCAGGTCTTGGACTCTGAGTTTGACAAATACTACCAACAAATGGCACGGATTGTTGGGCAGAAAAAAAAAATATCTTGAGGCACTACTAGTCAATATTTCCATAACTTTAGCGCTTTCCCTCCTAATAAAAAAAAAAATTTTATAGGCACGAGCAGCTAGACAGTATAGAACTAAAAGGAGCTGCCGTGATGGTCACGACGGAAATCGATTTGCCATATAGCCTAAGTGTTAATTACGAGCTAGATCGACACCGAAAGTATAGAACTAAAAGGAACAATCAACTGTCATTAACTACTAGAAAGACAGCGAAGTTAAGTTCAAAGTCTTCATCACGTGCCCTACAAAGTCAAGAGATTCAAATCAGACGTTCTTCCATTGGTTATTACAGTTCTACGGCTTAATACCCAAAATTATACCTACCGTGACACATTTACACAAAACTTTTTCTTTTGACATAAAAAGCTCTAAACTTATACCTTTGCGACACATTTACTCTCTGACAAGGTTCCGTCAGATGATTTTTTCAGCATTATTCCACTTAAGTCACGTGGGCGCCATGTTCGGACCGTTTGCTTTCAGGTGTCCATGTGGGTAGATTTTTAACGGTTCTCATTGATGGAATTTTGAAAGAGGGTAAATATTTAGGATTTTTAATGGCTTTTCCCCTAAAAAGAATTCACTAATTTTAGTGAGAGAAAATGACACAAACAGACCCTGAATTTTGGCGAAATGTGTAATGTGGTCTTTGAACTTTCAATTTTCTCAATGTGATTCCTAAACTTTAATCCAATGTACAATGTGGTGCCTGAACTTTTTATTTATTTATTGTGATCTTTGAACTTTTGGTACATGTTCAAACTAGTCCATAAATTGTATGAAATATTCAATGTTATCATTCTATTAATTTAAGTTCAGGGACAATATTGAATAGTTTTATATAGTTTAGGGAATAATTTAAATATGTATCAAAATTTCAAGGGCCGCATTGAATAAATTAAAAATTCAAAAATAGGTTGAGTAAAATTAGAAATCACATTGCTTAATTGATGCTAAACCAATTAGAATAGTCAATTCGACAGGTGAGAGGACCGTCATTAAACAAATTAAAAAATCAAAAATTACGTTGCATGTTGAGTTAAAATTTAGAAATCTTTTGTACATTGATTCAAAATTCAATGACCACGGCCCTTTCAGTGACCAAGTATGATAGGTACGAGTACATCGACCCAATTAGAATAGTCAATTCGACCAGACACGTGAGAGGACTCTTCGTTAAACAAATTAAAAGATCAAAGATTACGTTGCATGTTGAGTTAAAATTTAGAAATCTTTTGTACATTGATTCAAAATTCAATGACCACGGCCCTTTCAGTGACCAAGTATGATAGGTACGAGTACAGCGACCCAATTAGAATAGTCAATTCGACCAGACACGTGAGAGGACTCTTCGTTAAACAAATTAAAAGATCAAAGATTACGTTGCATGTTGAGTTAAAATTTAGAAATCTTTTGTACATTGATTCAAAATTCAATGACCACGGCCCTTTCAGTGACCAAGTATGATAGGTACGAGTACAGCGACCCAATTAGAATAGTCAATTCGACCAGACACGTGAGAGGACTCTTCGTTCTCTCCCCCGCAACAGACTCGAGAGGACGATAATGATGGATCGTTATTTTCCTAACAAGGCCAAAAATTGGACGCCAACCCAATTAGAATAGTCACTTTTTTTTTTGTCCGGAAGAATAGTCACCTGGACCACCTAGTTACACGACATGCCAAATTGTTTGTGTTGTCTCCTTAAACATAAGATTCTTTGCCGTCCATAAAAAAGAAAAATGAGATTTTTTGAGCCCACATGGTGCTTCGGGTTCTTTCCTTACAGTCATCACGAACAAGAGAAAATTCTAAATGAGGATTTAAAGTGCTCTCATTTTCTCAAATAGGGATATGAAGTGGAATTTATGTCAAATAAGGGCCTGAAGTGGACTTATATTCTCAAATAAGGATCTGAAGTGGCTATAACAGTTTCAAATAGAGGCCTTACCCCGCTTGCTGGCCAAGGGCATTTTCGTCCAAAAATAATTTTAACATAAATTTTAGTTAAATTAGATTTAAAATTTAAAAAAATTTAAAAAAAAAAGAAAAACAGGGGGCAGGGCTGGCAGCCAACCCTCCCCGCCTGTGGCCGCTGCCCCATCGCTGGTGGGGTGACGGCGATGGCCGGCGGGGTCGCCGGCGCCTCAGTGAGGGTCGGCGACCTCCGCCAGAGCCAGGAGAGGGCGGCGACCCTCTCCCAGATCGGGGCGAGGGCCGGCGACCCTCACCCCGATTTGGGAGAGGGCCGCTCGACCTTGCCCTGGGCTGGGCGAGGGTCACTAGCCCTCTCCCAGCTCTAGCGAGGGCGGCACCGGCAACCTCGCCGGCCATCGCCGCCGCCCCACCGGCGATGGGGCGGCAGCCACAAGCGGGGCTGGCCTCCTCCCCCTTGTTTTTTTTTTTAAAACTCCAGCTTTTTTTTTTCATTTTTGAGTTTGTTTTTTATGGAAAAAAACTGGAAAGGAAAAAAATCAAAAAATAAAAAAACCAAAAAAATTAAAAGATGAAAATGCCCTCGACTCCGGTGAGATGAGGCCCTTTTTTGAGACTGAGATGGCTACTTCAAATCCTTATTTGAGACAAGGTTCAATTCGAGGTCTTATTTGAGAAAATGAGAGCATTTCGATCCTTATTTGACACATGGTTCACTTCATGTCCTTATTTGTGAAAATGAGAGAACATTGAGACATTATTTGGAATTTTCCCTCACGAATAATTAGATTCATTCAAATAAAATCTGACATAATAGCCAATCACATGAACAGAGAAACCACTATAAATATGCATGGGGGTGAATTCTAGCTTACTATGCCTGGATCATCTAAGCCCTGAGCGCCCAAAGTACCCAGTCTCCACGATGCTTAGTTTCAGTTCTTTTGCCTTCATCCTACCTTGTCTTCTCTTTCTGTTCATGCTCATCAAAATTCTCAAAGCAAAACGTTCCAATGCTTTGAAGTTACCCCCGGGGCCAAAGAAACTGCCCCTCATCGGAAATTTGCACCAGTTGATAAGTCCCGAGCTGCCACACCATCATCTGAGTAACCTAGCGAAAACCTATGGTCCCATTTATCACCTCAAGGTCGGCGAGCTCACGTTCGTCATTCTTACGTCTCCTGAAATTGCCGAAGAGGTCCTGAAGACGCACGAGATCAACTTTGCCCAGAAGCCAATATTCCAGTCTTTAGAGATGATGTTCGACACGGACTCAAGCTTCATGTATGCCCCTTACGGAGAATATTGGAGGCAGCTTCGTAAGATTTGTGTCTTGGAACTTCTCAGCGTCAAACGCGTTCGGTCTTTCAAATCAGTAAGAGATGACGAGATGGGCAATCTGGTCCAGTCCGTGCACTCGTTGCAGGGTCGCCCTCTCAATCTCTCCAACAAGATCTCTTCATGCTTAAATTCCATAATATCCAAAGCAGCATTTGGTGAAAGCTACAAGCGCCAGGAGGAGTACCTTTCAGCTCTTAAAGACGCTGTCGAGCAGGCCGGCGGTTTTAGCATCGCGGATGTTTTCCCGTCCCTCAGAATCCTGCGTTACATTGGGGGGACGAAATGGAGGCTAGGCAGCATTCGGCGAAGATGTGATCAAATTTCGAATCGTATTCTCAATGATCATAAGAGGCCGAAAGAAAACTTGAGTACCAAGGAAGATAGCCTTGTCAAGGAAGATTTTGTCGATGTACTTTTACGGATTCAAGAGTCGAACGAACTTGCGTTTCCTCTTACTGACAACCACATAAAAGCTGTCATCCTGGTATGTTAAGATCCTATAGCTATGCTAGTAAATTTGGTAATACATGTTTTAAAGTTATAACACCATAAAGTTATGTGTCACTATTTTCAACAAGTTGCTACAAACTGCTGGAGTAATATGTTCTTGTCAAACAGCTTAAAAACGGTAATACTCCTTTCACAGCTAAAATTACTGCAGAAAAACTGTATCGAGCACCTTCGAAGTTCTTTCAGTTTGTGAACTCTAACTCATTATATTGGACCTACAAAAGCAAAATTCTTCCATTCGTAGACTAAATGCTCGTTTCTTTTTTGTTTGCACCTTTTGAGGAATTCTTTGGTGGCGGAACCGATACTTCATCGGTAACAGTAGAATGGGCGATGTCGGAATTGCTCAAGAACCCACAAGTGCTGGCGAAGGCGCAGACCGAGGTACGCGAGGCCTTGAAACGAAAGGATCAAGTGCAAGACTCGGATCTCGAAGATCTCAAGTACTTAAAATCAGTGATCAAAGAGACTCTCAGGTTACACCCTCCCGTACCATTAGTCCCCAGAGAAGCAAGGCAAGCATGCAAGATCAAGGGCTATGATATACCCGCGAAATCAAGGGTGCTTGTTCATGCCGGGGCATTAGGAAGGGATCCAAATCGCTGGAAAAACCCCGAAAAATTTGAGCCGGAGAGGTTTCTTGAATCATCAGTAGACTTCATTGGGACATATCACCATTTTGTTCCATTTGGGTTTGGCAGGAGGGTGTGCCCGGGCATCGCATTTGCTATGGCAAATGTTGAGCTCTTAGTAGCAGTCTTGTTGTACCATTTCGACTGGGCACTTCCCAATGGGCAAACTCCTGAAGAACTGGAGATGACCGAGGCTTTTGAGGCCACGGTCCGCAGAAAGAGCGATCTTTATGCGATCGCCACCCCTCACAACCATGGCCATGCCTAATAAAGACGACTTGTTGGTTGGGGTGGCCATTCTTATTGCGCCATCGTGCTCATGCCAATCATCTATTTCATCCCGCGTCATAGTTAAGAAAATAGAGTCTCTAAACAGGGACTAGAAACATGTCAAATCGTGTCGGTCTTGGTTTTTATCGTATTGGCTTTATATGCCAAGATTTGGAATTTCTCTCTTTATCAATTTCTCGTGTTTGTCTTTTTTTTTTGGTAAGGTTATTCTTAGAATCAGTTTTTAATTTCTCGTGTTTGTCTTCCCTCTATTGGTGCAAGAAATTGCCTGCCTTTGCTTTGTGGTGGCATATGTTGGTGGTTTACTTTCACATGTATTTTTGCGTATATTTTATTTGGGGTTGTAACTCATTGATGGTGGAAGATACCAAACAAAAAAGGTTTACAAATTGAACCTAGAAAATGCAACTTTAAAGTTTAAACTCGAAGTTTTGCCAATTAGATGTATTGCAAAAGAATTGGAAAGAAGATGTTGAATATTATTGGCTTCTTCGTAAATGTGATCTTGTTTTATTTCAGAGTACGTGAAAAAACAACACACAACTCTGTCTCTCTCACGACCCCTTCCCAACGCCCGCCACAGTTGAAATTGCTGGTTGTCCCTTCCGTCCTTTGTTGCCGCCTCCTATTATCTTGGAAATGGATTTGAGCGAGTCCTTAAACTATTCTCGCTCTCTCATGACCCCTTCCCAGCGCCGGTTGTCCGTCTTTTGTTGCCGCCTCCTATTATCTTGGAGATGGGACTTAAGCAAGTCCTTAAACTACTTTGTCTGAAATTTGGGACGTTAAAATTCGGGTATTCCTTGGGGAGAGGGGAGAAAAACTGTCTAAAATAAGGGCTGTTAAAATAAGTAATACAATGTTGACACCTAATTTTTAACCGACGCGTCATTGAAAGCAGAAAACTCAAGATTAGGGTTTTCGATCGCGACGGAACCCGTTTCTTGAGTTAAAAGTATCGTTTTTTAATTCCGTTTGTTGGCTTAACTTCTGTAGACGGTTTACCATTCATCTCATGCAAAAACCTGAAAAGTCAAATGGTTGACTTTCGGCTTGACTTTTTGGTCAATCCTTTCACCAAAAGTCAACTCCGGATCAAATTGGGACTTTTCGCATAAAAATATTCTTTTCAAGTTTAATTTCACTTTAGAAGTGAAAATTGCAGAAAAATTCAAAGATTTGATCATAAAATCAAACTCCTAGTGAAAAGTCAACTAGGATTTGACTTTTGGTCAAACCTTTGACCAAAAAATCGGAAAATACTAAAATTCAAAAATCATCTTATTTTACATTCAATCTGATTTTGGCATTTGAAATTTTGCAAAAATTGATTAAGAACCTACTTTTTCCCAATTTGCGGAAATAGGTTCGGAATTGGCCAAAAACAAAATTACTTTCATTTTGTTCATATTTTAGCTTAGTTCCTTTTACGACATTTGATCCAGATGTCATCATAAGATTACTCGTGCGACCAATTTTGTGTATCCGCTCTTTGAAATGAAAACCCCCAATTTTAGCCCTAATTAGGGATTTGAACCAATCGTTCACGATTCGCGAATGGTTGATATCATTTGACTCGTTTTTGTGAGATAAACACGAATCCAAAATCAATTTTGCGAAATTCACTTGAGAACTCTCCAATTTTCAGATTTTGCAAAAAAGTCCCCGGGTTTTGTGAAAAACCACTGGCAGGTCCTCGCCGGCGAAACCACCAGCGCCGCCACCCCCTCTGACATCCGCCTCCGTTCCTTCGACGTCTCGCTAGTCGGAGCCTCGCCGGAGTTGCCTCCGTTTGCTCCATTTCTCCTTCTCTTCCCACGGTGTCTTGAGCTGGTCCGAATCAAACCAGTTCTGTTCAGCGGCTGATTTAGGCGGTGCGACCACCGCCGATCTCTCCTCAGGTGTTTTCTCGACCTTGCTGTGGTCGGAGTTTCATCGGAAAGCCACCAGAGAAGTTCTGGTGGCTCTTTCTTCCCCGGCGAATTAGATCAGTCCAATTGGATTGGTCTGATCCTTCTTCTTCGCCGGTACTGTTCCGGCACCGATCTGACGTCGCCGGACACTTCCTGGTGTCCTCTGGTGGTTAACGTCCATCCTTGGTGAGCTGAGATCCCTCGGAGTGCCTCATACATTGATCGACACAAATCAATTGATCGTGTTTTCGCGCGATAACAAAAGATAATCTCTCAGTCTCGAATCCGATGAAGCGAGGTTACAATAGGTAGCCGAGGCTAGGATTCACCCTAGGACTTCCTATGAACTCCATATGGATGGTTTGTGGCTGCTGATTACATGTTTGATGATTTGATGATGATGTTCTTGAGTTGGAACCAGTTCTGCAATTTCGAGTTCTGGACCTACTTTCTGTTTTGTCGATTTTGACCTGTTAAACTTCATTTCTGGACTTCGACACCTTCTGGACTCTTGTAATACACTTCGAGAGCTTCGATTTGGTTTCTTACGGCACTTGATTTGGTATCGTTTGCTACCTGAAAACATATTCTAAAGTTTGCATCAGAATCAGAATTTTTGTTGTTATGTTTCTTCACGTTTTTACACGATCGGAGCAATTTTGCTTAATTTTTTCCGATTTTTCTGTTCGGATCTGGATGTTGTGGTCTTCATGAAAGTTGCTGAGAATCATCTTGATCATAACATATGTTTTTTTCTAGATTTTTCTGATGAGTCTAGATGAATGAAATCCTCTGTGAATCGATCTAGGGTCTGAAACAACTTTCTGCATTGATTACTCTGAATCTGGTTGTTCAGTTTGATGATTTTTTTTGCTGCCTTGTGTGTTGAGATTCAATAGGAGTTGTCCTCATGAAAAATGATCTAAATCAGGTTGGTTATAACATAGGTTTTTCTCAGAATTTTTGAAACATGCCTAAGTGTGGAAAACTCATGAAATTTGACCTCTGCACATGCTGATTTTGCCTGACCTGCACTGTTGTCGATTTTTTTCTGATTTTTCTGCTAAGATCTAAACTTAGGTCTCCTCATGAAAAATGTTCACATATGTCTTTGTTGCAACATATAAATTTTTCAGATTTTTTGGAGATAAGTAGATAGGTGAAAACTTCTGTGAACTGACCTCATGTCTTGTCTGCCTCTACTCGAACCCGAATTGGATTTGCTCAAAATTGAATGTGCAATTGTGATTTCTTGACCCTGATGTCTCCATGAAAGTCATAGTATAGTTCATTACCTTTTCAAAAAGGTATAAATCATATCATTCGGTCATCATCTGCATGGTCAATTGCATGCTCAATCTTGAATCCTTGTTCTGTAATTGTTGATTTCAAGGAACCCGATCTGTTTTCCCATTTTTTTTCCTTTAGAATCACAATTAGGTTTGGATTTCTCATGAAAATTGTTCATCATATTGTATACTATTGACATGATTTGTATCATATTTTTTGCCAGGTCATGAGGATAGTAAACAACATGTATCTTGTGAACTCATCTGCTGCAATTCATTACTGATATGCATCATTGTAGAAACCTTTTCAATTGACCATGAAATTGATGTTAATCAAACTCGATGCCTTCTAGAAAGTCTTAGAGAACGTCTTAAGCTTTCTAATGATGCCGAGATTGTCTCATTTGCATGTCCATAGGCCCCTTTACTATTTTGTATGAGGTTCCCCTGAAATCTGGAAAATTGTGAATTCGGAATACTTGATGTGCCAAATCTGTATTTGCGATTTGCTGATTTTGTGTGAATTGTTCGGTAAAGATTTTGATGATGAGTTCTTCATGGGCTTTGATTGTCATTCCCAGACCTAGGTCGTGACAAAATTTGATAATTTTTGGACATCATTAACATGCCCAAATTTCCATGAGGTTGCTCTGAAAATCTGTTCCTATGTTATGTTCTGATGCACTTCTTCATGTTCTGTGATTTTTATAAATTCATGTGTAGCTTATCTTAAGGAGTTTTCTTCACAAAAAATGTTCGTTGTTGTGTGCTTGAAGTACCATAAATTTTCCAGAACATTTTAACAATGGGTCCTTTTCCGATTGAATGCATCTCATATCCCCTGTTCTGCTGTTCTTTGTTTTTCCTTTATGAATTGTCTTTTGTTTTAGGATTTTTAGAAAATAAAGCATGCTGAACCAGTTTTTTAATGCCTTCACGAGCTTTAATTCTCACAATTTATCGATTTTCTAGTGCATGTGCTTATGATTGGCGCGTGATGAATTGAATGAAGTGACCCGATGTCGGTTCATTAATTTTAGTGATTAGATGAGAATCAAGGTCTTTCGACCTGCTTGCATGTTTAATTCATAGCTATGCATGTGATTTTTAGATGTATGCCTAGGGACGGTGCATGATCGTGGGTCCAAATTGGGGATTACATATAGAAACTGATTTAGGGATTCATGGCATTAATTGCTGTTGGTGAATACCAATGGTAGTTAATAACCATGAATTGTGTTTAAAACGAACATGGGTAGATAATAAAAGGTATCGATGCATGTTTGAACAAAGGCCGACCCCGTAGCCACCTTTGAAATTCTTTGTGCCTTGTTTGTTATCTTTGATTGATTTGTGATGCTGTGTACTTTGTGATTGTATATTATTTGTTGTTGTTCTTTCTTTAGTTTTAGTTTTCGATTAGGATTAGAATAGGTCCAAAAAGACGACGGTCTTGAATATGGCGAAGGTCGATGTCCATTCCGACTCTATTCTTTGTATACGGCGATGGTCGATGTCCATTCCAATCTATTTTCTTATAAAAATTCATTCATTACCCGACATATGTCTCGGGTTTCTTATATGCGTTGTATAAACACTCTATGAGTTGCGGATTTTTCTTTCTTGCACTTAGAATTAGCTAGTTTTAATACATTTGTTGTTTACTTTGCGTAATGCTTTTCAATACAATTGTTTCTTTCTTTCTTTTCTAGACTAAGATAGGATTAGTTTAGAATTTTAAATGAAAATACAAAAACAAGATGCATGATCACCTAGTGGACTAAGACTTTGGCATGAAAATGGTAAAAAAATAAATGCATGACGACTTAGATAACAACCATGATAAGTTTAGCGGTACCGAAAGGGCATTAATAGAAATATTAACGTAAGCTAGTCCCCGAACTCATGATCTTTGGTTTTCGTAGAAATCAAAACGAAACTCCTGCATTTCGGTTGGGTATTCTAG